GAGGGGTTCTTCACCAGATGCTTCTGCCATCTGAGTTGGGGTAAGGCAGAATGGCAAAAGGCCCATTCATGCTGGCTATTTTTAATTGCTGATCTTGTTTATTTATGCATGTGTGCATGTATGTCTGCATCACTTTGTTTGATGTTGTTGGTCTTAGAAACAGTTGGTGGAAGGCTGTTGCATTCATCTACTAAGTACACAAACACTTGAGGGTTCCATCAATAAGGAAATATATTTTGGACCATGGAAGCCAAAACAGTAAATCATATAAAATGATTATCCTTTACTTACTCTTTTGGTTATTAACCCATGACCAATACATTGTTTTAATTCTATTTTCCTTCCTTCCTTCCTTCCTTCCTTCCTTCTTTCCTTCCTTCCTTCCTTCCTTCCTTCCTTCCTTCCTTCCTTCCTTCCTTCCTTTTTTTTTTTTTTGCATTGACTAAACTTTTGTTTTTAATTTTTATGTTCTCATGTTGTGAGAGTCATAGCAACATAGAGGAGCAAACTTTCTAATAAGGAACCTTATGGCACTCATTTTGACAAAATATTTTCTAAAATATTCTTGGGGATATTTAAAATCAGCATTTTTCAACCTTGGCAACTTTAAGATGTATGGACTTCAACTCCCAGAATTCCCCAACCAACTTCAGAAATTCATTTTCTAACCCTTGATTATACTGCATACTTTTGGTAGCTGAGGCCACAGACTGAGGTCTCAGCATGTTTCAGTATGTTTTTATAAGACTTTAATATCTTTCAAAAATTGATCAACTTTTTTAAAACATTGGAGAGATTTTGTTGAGCAGAATAGCAATGCAGTGACAAATATCCTCAAAAACATCATAGCAGGCTGCCTGGCTGGAACATAGAACAGCAATATTTTAGATATATACAAAGTCTTTCTATTTGTTGTCTATATAATATTGGCACAGAATTTTGGGAACTTAGACATCTGCCATAGAAAGGTCAAAATCTGGCATTTTACAGCAGCATCTGTCTGGACACTGAAAACAGATTGTTACTGTACTTGTTTGGATTTAGCAAGGCTTCTGCCTTGTTCACACTAATTTCTGTACTAATAAAAATGTTTATATAAGTACCATATTGTCCAATATGCTTATCTATTTTCCACGAAGGAGATACTATGTTTTTATGAAGGCTAGAATAATTCAAATCTTGCAACATTTTTTTTAAGTAAATAGATTTAGGCTGTCATTTTTTATTCATACTGTGCCATCAGCATGTAGCAACTGCTGTAGCCAACATGAAGGTTGCAACAGTAAATTTTATTATAGACTGGTAATTTAATTGAACAGATTTACATTTGAATAAATGGCCTCCTCTGGCATGCTGCATGGGATTAATTTTTTTAAAGTATACATTAAAAACAAACCTGAGACATAGCAACTCAATCCTGTTCTACAATATAACCAAAAAAAGGGTTATAGCAAGAATAAATATGCATGATTCTCCCTTCTACTGTATTGTGTAAGCACCCCAAATTAGCAGAAATAAGCAGTATATTTTCCATTTTAAAAAAGTACAAAATTTCATTGTACAGTATTAAATTGTATTCTTAAATATAATTTAATGACTCCCCTTATTTCGCAAAACTTAAAACATTTAATTTACTAAGCATTGAGAGTTAAGACTGAGTAAAGATTAAGGGTGACATCTCCTGTTAGACCCTGAAACTGGCTCTTAATATATTGTTTGAGTCAAATCTGTGAAACTTAAAAGATAGTTAAGAAATCTCGGATGGTAGGACAGATATCTCAGTACCTTGTTTTTTGAAGGAATTTCTAGCATTGCTAATGAGCCTTCACTCATTAATGACCAAATATAAAGCTATTTCTTTGAGTAATTAATCTGTACATTGATTCATATTATAATGAGTTTCTTCCACTTCTCTGGAAATTGGGTGAAACAGTTGTCTCCCTTAAATTCAGTTAAGAAAAAAACAATTCATGGGGAAGTTTTTGAATCAACCATTTAACAAACAAAAAAAGTCAAATAAAGGTCAATTTCTGCACATGTCACATATTCTCTAGGGCAGAAATATCCTCAAATTTCATGCTGCCATCTCAAGACTAGACAATTAGAACTGCTGAACCCTCTATATGGAATGGATTATACATATCTGAGATAGCATACTTTAAAGTTGCATTCCAAATAAGCCTAAAATGGAATAAAATAAGAATTATTTGTTTTTTGGGGGGGATCTCTATCAGTCTAAAAATGGATATTTGCAAAAGCATACTCTACCAGGTGCCAGCACCTACATAAAGAAGGAAAGAAAAAATTCTCTCAAGGAGCACAGGGGATAATTTTTGCCACAGTTATCTTATTCTAACTTCATTTCATTTTGTTTTCCAAAGAAGAAAGAGATTAAACAGTGAGTGTTTAACCTTCAATATTTCCCTAGCTTAAATTGCTATTTGAAGCTGTCATTAGCCATGCTGGGGAAAAAGAAAGGCATGGTTTTGCACTTATATTTTCAACTGTGAAATGTCGCTTTGTTGTTTGATGATGGGAGATCCCTAATCCCTAGTTTGGGAGTGAATTTTCTGCAACAATACTTATCTTGAAGGTAGAGGACAAAAAGCCTTCTATTTACAAACATCCAAAACAAAAGAGGAACAGCAGCATAAATAGCTTGAGGAAAAGATCAGCGTTGATCACTTTCACAAATCTTGGTTACTAAGATGACAGGAAAAACAAAAACCTATTATATGAAGGGAAAAAATGGCAATATGACTCAATCTGCACAATGCCTTTTTCCTTCAGCTAGAGAAATAGATTTAGCTGTAACAACTGACTGAAAAAGGCTCATATTCTGGATGTTGTTCACGTTTGAGTTCATGTTAAGCTTCCATTAAATGTTTTTGTATTATAGTTTCATAACATGAAACAAATTAGGGTTTCCATATGGATGAAGCCCTATCCAGATCTGAATAAAAAAAGCCAAATCCTGAATCTCTTAATGAGGCAGAGTCCCCACTGAATTAGATAGGAATTTTTCCAGCATAAAACTAAAGGCAGCAGGATTTGGCTCACAGGACCATCACGCCTGCCAAAGCAACCATACACAGAATGAGGTTTATTCTAAGTAAGTATAATCCAATAAGAGTATGTCTGAAAGGATGTGATAGACCTAATTTTTCCATTATTGCTCAGTTACTCCATGTTTGTTTATTATATAGATTTGTAAGGCCACCCGACTAAGCAATGACTCTACAAGCTGACTTGTGAAAAACAATCATGGGAAAATTGGTTTCTGAAGAAAACAAAATGTGAACTTCAGTTTCTGAATGGAAAATCAAACCTTTTTTTCAATGCAAACTGCCTTAGCTGCTTAATCTACATCTTGGCCTTTTGGGGTATCTCAATATGGATTTCTCTGAATAAGACTGGAAATTTGTGACACTATATGTAATTGCATCATATTTGTCTGAACCAGGCATACGTGAACATATAAAACTGTATTCATCTTGAGGAATACAACCTAAATCTCCAGTATTCTATTTTTTTAATCTAAATTGCTATTCTATAGATACTTCCAGCAGTAAGTTTTATTCAATTCAAATGCATTTCTAAATAAACCTGTAAATGACCAAATAGTTAAAATCTGTAGTTCTCATTTTTCTTGCTTACATCCAGTGCTTTTTTTGTAAAAAAAAAAAAAAGTGCCAGAACTCATACATGTTATACAACCCACCTTGCCTACCCTACAAAGTTCCATCCCAAAAAGGTGCCAGAACTCCATTCTGGGCGTTGTATGACAAAAAAAAGCCCTGCTTTCACCAATACAAAAGCTTGATTTTGTTTTATAGAGTAAGGGCTGTTGAACTGATGGATCAGAAATCAATACTAAGTTACAATCCAATGGAAGATGAGCTGCAATAAGGCCTTTTTTATTATATGACAAAGAAGCAAATCATCAAAATCATGTCTGTGAAAAAAATGGGTCCCAATCTAGGAGGCTGAAGGCTGCTGCTGATGGAAGATAGATGCATTACAAACAACTTTAGATTTCAAAAACCTCAGGTTGACTATCTGCTGTGGGAGATGTGTAGATCACATGATACTATCTAAAAGGATACATTTTTTTACAGTATCTACTTATTCAATATTTTTGTATTTGAAGGGCAAGCACAATCAAATATGTCTTAAAATTATAGGAATTGTGTATTGAACTCTTAATAGCTATAACAAATTGGATTTCAAAGAGGCAGAGGTCAAATTATCAGTATTCGCTGGATTATGGAAAAACAAGGAGTTCCAGAAAAACATCTACTTCTGCTTCATTGAATATGCTAAAGCCTTTGATTGTGTACTGTAGATCACAATAAACTGTGGCAAGTTCTTAAAGAGTAACAGATCACCTTACCTGTCTCCTGAAAAACCTGTATGCAGGTCAAGAAGCAACAGTTAGAACCAGACATGGAATAACTGATTGGTTTAAAATAAGGAAAGGAATACAACAAGGCTGTGTATTGGAAAAGATTGAAGGCAAAAGAAGAAGGGGACGACAGAGGATGAGATAGTTAGATGGTATCATTGACACAATGAACATCAATTTGGGCAGACTCAGGGTGACAATGAAGGACAGGGAGGCCTGGTTTACCATGGGGGTCACAAAGAGTCAGGCACAACTCAGCAACTGAACAACAAGTTGTCTATCTGCTGTTCTGATTTTGCTAACTTCAGCAGTCATAGGTTGTAGACTACTGTAACTGCCTGAGTTTGTAAGAACATTGTATACATTATATGAAGCAATTTCCGTCAGACATTTATTTTATAGTTATTTATATAAAAAATACAGTTTCCTTACATTAAACTAAAGAAATTTCTCTCGTTCTCTACGGAGCAATTATATTGTTTTATTTTTAAAAACAGTTATGACATCTGAAAATGATACATTGCATTTCTCAGATTAAATTATAATTCTAACAGAGTTTATGAACAATTCTATAAAAGGGCTTTATCAACCTTACCTTCTTTCAGCATTCCAACTTTTAGACACTTCATAAAACGACAAGCTTGACAGGATTTGCGTCTGCGCTTTGTGATTTCACATTCATTTGTTGCTGGACAGCTATATTCTATGTTACCTAAAATATTTAAAGTACATAAAAAGAAGAATCCATTAAGAAACATCAGCTATAATTTTGTTAATCAATTAAAAGAAATACAAATGTAACTGAAAGTCTAAACAAAAAAAAACATGAAATTGAAAATGTTAGGAGCTGGGCTTAATTTTTTTACAGACTTTTTTTTGTTTTTGCAAACAGTGTCTTATACCAAAGAAAACTAGAAAAGCAGAATATTAAAACCACATGGCCTGATGCAGTTTAAAAGTTTAAGTGGGCTATTGCTTAGCATAGTTTGGATAAAATTCAGCACTACTTTTTTGTGCGGCTGCTGATAAAAACAGGATCGCCAACATGATTGCCAAAATCCGATAACAGATATGGCACAAGAAGAAGAAGAAGAAGAAAAAGAAGATTGCTTAGCATAGAGCATTTTCCCACAAAATAATAAGTGCAGAGTATTTTAATCACTTTGCTATCGCTTCTCAAGGAAATCTATCTGTTTCTGCAACCTTTTATTCCCCAAGGTTTTGAGGTGAATGTAGCACCCAAATTTGTTTCAGCTAGAATTCATGGTGGAATTCTTAAAAAGAAATTCACTAAAGCTTCAGGAACTTAGAAAATGAAGCACTGGGCTGGAAAAAGTAAATATAAAACCATCAAAGGTAGATGGAGAACTTTTTTCCTATTTTTAGATTTCAGAATCCAACATTGGAAGAAGAATTTCATTCAACTTATGGAATTCATTGCTACCAAATAAAACAGTGGTAATTGCTTAATATGTTTAAAAAGGCCTAGATGCATGCAGGAAGAAGAGAGTTATCAATGTCTTTTTATTAAGATTCATTTTGTTAAGAAAGGGGAATTGGGTTTGAGAGGCAAAATACAACTGAATATCACCTCCTTTTCTTGATTTTATACTGTTTAAGAAATTCCTGAAAGCACCTGATTTTATGAAGCACTTGCTAGAGCTTCAGTCTACTTTAAGATAGGTTTTCTTGTGTTCTGTTTCAATATAATATGCTAATTCAAGCAGGGGGATATTATTTGCTAAGATGAATTTAGTTGTTTGACTAATATATGTGTTCTTACTGACTTGGACATTCACAATTACATTTAGTAGGTGCAATCTGTGGTGCTAGTACTTCATGGAAAAATAAAAGTGCTTTTCCCCCCCTCCGTGTTTCCCCATCTTGCTTTAGAAGTATTTTGTTACTTTCTAACCCTTTCCCCTTGTGATTAAGTGCATTAGTATCTTAATGAAAATGCATTCTCTTTATTGCTCTCTTGGGAAGTGGGAGGTCATCACACCAAATGCATAAATTGCCATCAGAGACAGCCCAGGCATAATTGCAATTTTGCTGCTCCATGTTTGCTGCACTCTGAGCCTCAAGACGTCCCCTGAAACATGTAGAGATTCTAGTAATTAGCATAGAGTATGCCTGGGACCAGAGCATTGATGAAATATTTCAGAGTTAATCACACTTTGTAAACACTGATTTATATTGACTACCTTTCTCCAGACTGATGTCTCCTCATTAAATATCACATTAGCAGGTTGCAGGATTGTACAGATTCAAATTCTCCACAACTGCTAACTTAACAAAGAGTTATACTATGCACAACATTATGCCTGTCTGTTATAACATATAAATGATGAACTAGAGTGAAAACAATGAATTAAGAGGGAACTCAGTATCTACTGAAAGAGCACAATTAAAAAATGTGGTGGCATCAAAGGCTTAGACTGAACTATATAGTCCCACAGATGCCCCGAACTCCTATTTTAAAAGAAATATAAATTACAGAATTCTATCAAACACTAGAAATTAAAAAAAATGTACTCTTAAGAACACCTACATAAAATTTAATTCCACTAAAACTAATAGATAAACCTAAGTGTGTATTTATTAATAGCAACACTGATTTAAAAATATACCGTAATGTTTTTGTTTTACAAGGCAGTCTGCCCTTTTTCTGCTTTGATAGGTAGACAGGCAGATAGGCAGACAGAGAGAAGTGCAGGCAGTCCTTTGGTAGGGATATTACTGCTTTTGATGTTTGCCTAAAGTAAATTTAAGTTGAAATGTGTTTCTTTGATTTTTGTAGCGAGGATTAGATGTGATATTTACATGTATACTTATTATCATCATCTCCATCTCTACTATAATCATCCACAAAATAAGTTAAAAACAAAACCTGACAGAAATTACAACATCTGAAGAAGCCATTTAAGCTATTACGCCCAAATCACTATTCAATATAGGAATCCAAATTAGAACATCCCAGGCACATGGCTTTCTAGTCTGGTTCATCATAACCTACCATAGAATAACTGAGTTCACCATAGAACTACCATTAAAAAGACGTGTTTTTTCAATGACATTAAATCTAAAATCTCGCTTTCTATATCTAAATCAGTGATGGCGAACCTTTTAGAGACTGAGTGCCCAAACTGCAACCCAAAACCCACTTATTCATCATCTGGTGCCGGGTGGGCGTGGCTGTGGTGGTAATGGCAGACTGGGTTGGACTAAAAAGTTCAATCAATCAATTCCAACTTTGCAAGATCTTTTTTTTCCCGCAAGAAGTTGAAATTGACTGATTTCAGTCAACCTTTTTTTTTTTGCACACGGCGGTGAAAGCCTAAAGCGAAAAGGTTTTATAAAACCCAGCTGAAGGCCTAGGACTGGGGTGACAGTGTGCGTGCCCACAGAGAGGGCTCTGATGCCACCTGTGGTACCCGTACCATAGGTTCACCACCACTGTCCTAAATCCACGGGGCATGATGCTCAGTGGTTAAAAATACTGAGCTTATCAACAGGAAAGCTGACAGCTTGGGTTCGAGATCCAAGCACTGTGCAATGGGTTGAGCTCTCATTACTTGCTCCAGTTCCTGCCAACCTAGTAATTAGAATGCATGCAAATGTGAGCAAATAAATAAGTACCACTTTGATTGGAAAGTAACAGTGTTCTATGCACCTTGGCATATAGCCATGCTAGTCACGTGACTACAGAAGTGTCTTTGGACAATGCTGGATCCTCAGCTAAGAAACAGATATGAGCACCATACCCTAGAGTCAGACAAAACTGGACAGGGAAAACTTTTACCTCTATATCTTAAACTCATCATTCCAAATCCTGTACTCTTAGGTAAGAGAAAACAGGTGTTGATCTTCTTTAGGTGACATTCTTTCAGATGTTTAAAGAATACTATTATATCCTTCCCGGTCACCTTCTTTCAATTTTATACCCAATTCCTTCAATCAATCTTCACATGGTTTGTTGTAGAAAGTTGTAATTTCTTAAGTCATCTTTGTAAATCATCGCTCAACCTCTTCTAATTTCTATGAATCCTTAAAGTGTAATGTTCAAACCTGGATATCATACTCAAGATGGGACATGATCAAAGCTGAACTGAACAGAGTATGGTAGATGGGTTAACATATTGAGCAGAATAGTGTAGTATTCAGATAGAAAGTGGACAAAGCCCTTTAGATCTTGTGTATGGGGGTTTCTCATTGTTTTTTTCAATAGCTTCTTAAAGAATGAATCAATACATCATAGTTTTCTATAGCTGTTAATATTTAATACACCCCAAGGTTCTCAAGGAACTGGCAGATGTGATCTCAGAACCAATGAACTATATTTTTCAAAGATCCTGGAGCACTGGGGAACTACCAGAGGACTGGAAAAGAGCTGATGTAGTTCCCATCTTCAAAAAAATGGATCCAGGAAATTACAGACCTATCAGCCTGACTTCAATACCTGAGAAGATTCTGGAAAAGATAATCAAACAACGAATCAGTAAATACCTAGAGGCAAACAAAATCACTACTAAAAGCCAACATGGGTTTGTCAAAAACAGATCATGCCAGACAAACATTATTACATTATTTGACCAAGTGACAAAATTAGTGGATCAGAGGAATGCTGTGGATATAATTTACTTGGACTTCAGTAAGGCATTTGATAAAGTAGATCACAACCTACTACTCAATAAGATAGAAAAATGTGGGTTAGACAACATCACCACCAGATAGATTCGTAGCTGGCTGACTGGTCATACTCAGCATGTGGTCCTCAATGGAACTGCATCTACATGGAGAGAATTGTGTAGTGGGCTGCCCCAGGGCTCTGTTCTGGGCCCAGTGCTCTTCAACATCTTCATCAACAATTTGGATGAGGGGATAGATGGGGAACTCATCAAATTTGCAGATGACACGAAGCTGGCAGGAATAGCCAACACTTCAGAAGACAGGTTTAAGATACAGAAGGACCTGGACAGACTTGAACACTGGGCGCTATCTAACAAAATGAAATTCAGTGGTGAAAAAAGCAAGGTTCTACATTTAGGCAAGAAAAACCAAATGTACAGGTGTAGTATAGGGAGTACCTTGTTCAATAGTAGTAACTGTGAGAGGGATCTCAGAGTCCTAGTGGACAATCACTTAAATATGAGCCAGCAGTGTGCTGCAGCTGCCAAAAAAGCCAACACAGTGCTGGGCTGCATTAACAGAGGGATAGAATCAAGATCACGTGAAGTATTAATACCACTTTACAATGCCTTGGTAAGACCACACTTGGAATACTGCATCCAGTTTTGGTCACCACGATGTAAAATGATGCTGAGACTCTAGAAAGAGTACAGAGAAGAGCAACAAAGATGATTAGGGGACTGGAGGCTAAAACATATAAGGAACGGTTGCTGGAATTGGGTATTTCTAGTTTAACGAAAAGAAGGACAAGGGGGGACATGATAGCAGTGTTCCAATATCTCAGGGGCTGCCACAAAGCACCTGAAGGCAGGACAAGAAGCAACAGATAGAAACTAATCAAGGAGAGAAGCAACCTAGAACTAAGGAGAAACTTCCTGACAGTTAGAACAATTAACCAGTGGAACAATCTGCCTGCAGAAGCGGTGTAATGATACAAATTGGTATGTACCTACTTTTTCTAGTAGTTGGAAAAAAAGTGTTCTGCAAGTAATAATAACATATCAGCCTGGCAGCAAAGGCTTT